TTCTTCCTGTCCATTATAGCTCTTAATAAGTTTTGTCCTTTTTTATTTTTCCCAAACCCTGTTCTGCCATTCATTTGTTCAAGTATATCTTCCATGTTACATGTTGATTTCCTCTGTCCTCTATCTGTCCTGTGAGTATCAGATTTTCCAAGTCCTCCTTCCTCATTAAATGCCCTAGAAGTTTCTACTTCCTCTTCCTGATATTAAGTATATAAGTTTCCTTTTATTTGTATTCCTCCAAAACCCGGTTGTTGCTCACATTTTCAGGTGATATCTTCAGTAGAACCACATTTCTGTTGCTTCAAGTCTCTCCATCTTTGAGAAGATTTTCCAGCATTTGCTGCCATACGGGATGACAGAAATCACATAACAGTTCAATAATCTTTTTTTTGTTTCCAATGAAAGTTTTCTGTCTCTTAATACACTCTTTAGCCTTTGGAATGCATCTTTGGCCATTCCCATCTATTGATATTAATTGACAATTGGAATATATCTATAGATATCAAACGGTGGTGAGCAGGGAGTATCCGCAATATAATAGATTTTATTACTGGTGATGATTATATGGGAAAAATAGTGTTTTTATAATTGGGAATTTGTCTGTCCAATCATGTTATTCTGCTCCTTGTATCATTTGTTAAAGCATAAGAAAATATTATTTCTTCTTGATCAGAACAAAATTTCAATTAAAGTAATATCTTTGTAACTTAGCCGTTTATAAGCTTGAGCATTTAAGTGATACCTAACTAGGGTACTTTTATACACAGGGAAGTTAAATTATGTCAGTGATGATGAAATTAATCAAAAGAAAAAATGTTTTGTAGATCTCGTTTTGTGTGCTAAGTTCCTTCATGATATGGGCAATCATGGCTCTCTGCAACTATTTTTATTGTTTTACATAGATGTTAGCCATTACAATCTCTTTTAGATTCTGTTCTCACATTTCATTCAATCTAATGAAGATTACTTACTGTTTATTCTTTCTTTTCTTGTCTTCAAGTGTTAAATCCTCTTCATTGTTTTTCCTCATTATATATCCTAGAAAGTTTAAACTGTTTCTTTCTGTTTGTAGATATAATTTTCCTTATTGATGGTTTTTTTTTTTAAAGACTTCTACAGAGGAATTTTAAAAATTGATCATATCAATAATCATGAGGTAATTTGTCAGTGAGTTAATTTTTTTTCACTATAATGGAACACAAAAACTTTTGATTAAAGATTTAAAATGAATGCCTTTCAAGATTTAAAATGAATGCCTTTTAAATCTGTTCACATCTGTTAAACAATAAAAAGGAGAATTTAGACTAGTGAATATTACCCTGAATGTTAGATAATAATTCTAAAGTATTTGGCTTGATAATATTGGGATAAATGTAGTTTGTACAACATTAAATCTAGTTTTTGAAAAGTGACCTTGTAAAGATGAGATTTAATTTATAATGTTATAAATTGTATCATTCTAACTGTATGTGTTTTTTTTTTTTTTTTACAGTTGCTATTTTTATTAAAATTTGCTCATGGCTCAATTTACAGAATATTCGACATTCCTGGGATGATCAAATCTCTGTTGCTTGAACTCTTTTACATATGTGAAAGGAGAGTTTATGACTGAATCAAAAGTATGAATTGGCATATGTTTTCTTCTTTGAGATCTTTACCTTGTCAGACAAATTGTCCAAAGAAGCTTATTGTCATATGTTGAAACACCAGTTACTGTATGATCACTGAAATTAAGCAATGTCAAGCCTGGTCAGTACCTAGATGGGTGACCATTTGGGACTACCAGGTACTGTAAGCTTGGATGTGTAGGTTTTGTAAAAGTTAATGACACAAAATTTTTAATTGGAGAGCTGAGTTCCGATTCCACTTGGGTTATATTCACTTATATACAAATACCTTTGGCAAAGATATGATGATGCCTCTTCTCCACTAGCTATGGGCTAATTAGTAAAATTTGTCACTAAATCATTATCTCCAAAAACAAAGAAAATTCTTTGAATCTAAAAAAGAAATACTGTCTGGCTTTAAATAACTTACAAAGCTGCAGAAAATGAAACCATCAATCAATGATCAAAACTGGTCCAAAGATTTTTCAATGTTAGAATTGTTTAGAATAATAGTCACTTTCATTTCATGATATATTTATATATATATATATATATATATATATATCTAGTTTCAAGATTGATTTTTTAATCATCTTACTTGAACCAGTTAATTTCAGTCATTAACAGATAATGGATTAAATATGGTTGAGAAATAATAAAATAACATAACATTTATAAAATTCACTAATATAATATAAATGAAATCTTGATTGCAAGATAAGTTTTGACTTTGTCTTCTTCAGGTATATAACTTATATAAAAGAGGAAGTGTTGATTTTTTTTTTTTTTAAGTATCCAACTGAGAAAAAAATTAGGATCTACATTGATCGGATGACCTGGTTACAAAGCAATGTATATAAAAGGCAATTGTCTATTTTATATACAAAGTTACTCCTGAATTATTTATGTAACTTTACTCTCCATGAAAAGGAAAGAGATTCCGCCAAATATTTCTATATACTCAAATATCTGGAAAAAAAAATATTCAAGAAAGGATTAAGAAAATATCAAGAGCAGTTGTGTAAGTCTTCAAACAATAATTCACTCATATCAAAATTATAGAAGATAAGGATAAATTTTATTTTGGTTAATTTTTTTTAGTTTTATTTCAAGTTTTAGAAATAAGTATATAGAATATAAACATTCAAATGTCTCTTAAGACAAAAAGGAAAAGAAGTTGGCCAGTATATATTGAGTGATTGATAAGGTAGTAAGAGCTTGAGTAGTATTTCACATTAGTGCCAGTTGTCAGTGTTGAACTCAGGTAGAATTGGAATAACTTTCAAGGGAGGCAGATATTGCTGCTTCTTTTTTTATTTTTATTTACTTTTCTCTTATTTTGTTTTTTGAAGGATTGGCAAAACACAATCTTTTGAGCCCTGCTTTTATTCCCCACTTGTGACCTTCTAACATAGCAGTATTCATTGATAGAAATAAAGTTAAGGTTATGCACTTAGGCTTGTCTGCAATGAGATACTTTAAAAAATACTTTAAGTATTTGCTTTTTTAGCATTCAGCTGTTTTTGTTTTTTTTTATATGGTTGTTATAAATTCATGAGTGCTGAAAATGTTACAAACAATAAGAATCATTGTAGGGTGAATGTGGAAAGAGTGGAAGTTAAGGAAGGATAAAATTTGGCAGTTAAGTCCATGTAAAAGAACTGGAAGACTATTAATTTTGATTTTATTTATTCAATTAACAAATTGAATTTCAGAAAAAAAAACACTTCAAGCACAGAGAGACCATTTTTTTTTGTCTAATTATATGCAAATACATGTGTCTATAATTTTTTGTATATAAACATGTATACAAATATACACAGGCTTACATCATTGTGTGTGTATATATATATATATATATATATATATATATATATTTTCAAACTTCTAATGGAAGATATCAACACAAGTATGTACACCTATATTTATACATAGGTACTTATATAGTTCATTGGTTATCAGTGTAGAAAGTGGGATTGACATCTACTATATGCTGTGTCCTTTCAGAATATAGGCGATCATAGTCCTCCACATCTTCCTGTCCTTTGTAGCTCTTAATAAGTTTTGTCTTTTTGTTATTTCACTCAAAGCCTGTTCTATCATCCATTTACTCAAGCTCATCAAATGTTACATACTTCTTTCATCTGTCCCTCTTTCCCTCAGTCTGTCCTTTGAGTATCAGATTTTCCAAGGCCACTTTCCTCACTACATTCCCCAGAATTGGCAACTGCCTCTTCCTGATGTTAAGTATGTGTTTTGTTTTGTTTCCATTTTTTCCTGAAACCTTGTTGTTGTTCCAATCAGCATCATAGTGTTCACTTTGCAAATGAATCCATTTCTTTTCTTGGCTGTAGTTTAAGTACCTGAAAAGACCATTTTCTAGCCTTGATTGTCAACCAGTCTAAGGAAAATAACATCCTAAAGTCAATCCTGAGTGTGGAGGCTGTTTGCTGACTTCATGGTACACTGGGCACCATTGCTCTGTTAGAATTTTAGCCAAAACATATCCCTGGTTCTCTACACGCCTCCACCTCTAAAATCAGGTCATATAGGTGGGTAGTCACGCAGTTCAATTATAAATAAACTGAATATTTAAACCCACATCTGAACACCTGTCACATGATTAACAAGAGGCACAAGAAATGTATATATTTTTTTTGAAATACCAAAGAGGTTAATTTGGTATCATTGGAAAGAGAAATGAATGTTCTTTCATATGACATAAGACATGATTTTTAATGGTTTTTGAAATTTTTCTTTTACGATGATGTTCAACCTGTACAAGATACTTGAGGTAGGGGGTAAGAGGTATAATTTATGCAGATATACAGGAAGATAACAGTTAACTTTAGGCTTGAACAAGTTAAGTTTGTAGTGATTTTGAAAGCATCTGCTCAGGAGTCAGTTCCACAAAGCAGCAGTTCATAGGAAGAATCTGATCAAGTGGAATTTACATCTCACCAACAGAATATGAAGGGAATGATAGTGGTTTTTCGCAATGTGCATAGCAGGGCAGACCTTAGCCATAAAAGTTAGATACATCTATAAAATGGCACTAATATCACATAGGTTTTTCAACAATTCAGTTTGGGCTCTAGGAATTTAAAAATGAAAATCTTGTAAGGCCTGACAGGATTAAGTTAAATCAAACCAAAAATTGGATTTAAATTTATCTATGTAAATTAACCTCCTTATACGATATATATATTAGAAGAATATACACAGGTACTATGTCAAGTGTTTTTAAAGAGGAAGAATTAGAATGTTTGACTATTTGGACTGGCTTGCTCATTTTGTTGTTTATATTTGGTGTTGGCTGTTCTACTCTCTGGCCTTCTTCAGGCATCTCTCTTCATACAAACATTTTGTATCTCTGCTTAAGTTACTTTCGTATCAATGTAACATAGCTTCTTCGTGCATTTTCTTCTTGCCCCGTGAAAGTCTCGTGCTCTTCTTGCCCCGTGAAAGCCTCGTGCTCTTCTTGCCCCGTGAAAGCCTCGTGCTCTTCTTGCCCCGTGAAAGCCTCGCTCTTCTTGCCCCGTGCTCTTCTTGCCCCTCGTGAAAGCCTCGTGCTCTCTTGTGCTCTTCTTGCCCCGTGAAAGCCTCGTGCTCTTCTTGCCCCGTGAAAGTCTCGTGCTCTTCTTGCCCCGTGAAAGCCTCGTGCTCTTCTTGCCCCGTGAAAGCCTCGTGCTCTTCTTGCCCCGTGAAAGCCTCGTGCTCTTCTTGCCCCGTGAAAGCCTCGTGCTCTTCTTGCCCCGTGAAAGCCTCGTGCTCTTCTTGCCCCGTGAAAGTCTCGTGCTCTTCTTGCCCCTTGAAAGTCAAATTTGATCTTTCAATATTGAAATGAAAATCCAGCACCAACTTCTGTCTCCTCAATTCCTGCTCTTTTATTGTCTTCTCTCCTCAATGTTTTTCTCAGATTCTTTCACACTCAGTACCCCCTTGTCTCGGGGCTTTATCACTTTACTTAGGGGGAAATGATTAAAAAAATAATAAGCAAAAAAAATACCCCCTTAACCTGTCGTAAATTTTCAGCTAAACCCTTTCTTCTTTCTGTGGGTGTATTTTGTTTTATTCTTTTTTTTGATGCTGAATAGTTTGTTTTTTATTTTGTTTTTGATGCTGTGTGAGTATTTCATATTAGTTTGCACTCACCAATGTTATTCCCCCTTTCTGCCAGTTGTTCATTTCTTCCAAAAGCTGAATATCCAAATAGGTGTCTCATTAGTCAAGAATCACTAAAGTGGGTAAAAGAAAAGCAATGTTATCTATGTGCCTTGAAAGGGACACTCTTCAGGACACTGGCAATCATGGCTCTCCACAACTTTGTTTTTTGTAGCCCATAATAAAACATGTATTTTTGCTATTTCTCCTAATCCCTATTCTGCTGACCATTTACTCAAGTTTGTTTGGTCGGTAATTCTCTATTTTTCTTTGCCCTTCTTGATTTCACCCTGAACTCTGAGTTTCAAATTTTCCAAGCGATCTTTCCTCATTATAGACCCTAGAAATTTCAAGTCTCTTTCTACTGCTACATATGTGTCCTTTTTATTGTTATTTTCTCTAAAACTTTCTTGCTGTCGACATGTTCAGTTCATTATTGTGTAGAACTATATAACTGTTACTTCCAATCTCTTTTCCATGTGTGATGAGATAGTCTAGCATTCACTGTCATATAGGAGGAATGAGATGACATGATAGTTCAAAACTCTTTTCTTTGTTTCTAATGAAATTTTCCTGTTTTGTACTACTTTGCCTAGGTTTTGGAAATCATCTTTTGCTATTTCAATGTGCCTTCAAATTTTCGTGTTGTATATTCCAACTTTTGTTAATTTTTCTTACATGGTTAAATTTTTGCATTAGTGGATAAAATACTTTATTTACACTATTTACAGTCATACTATTGTTCTGATGCAGTGTAAGTAATAGTGTAAATAATGATAACACTCTATCCCAGAAATTCAGACACATTTATTTTTTGTCAATATTTTATATTTGCACATGAAGATATACTTATACACAAATGCTCCTGAAAAAGTTATGAATCTTCCTTCCCAGCTATGGATTAAATAGTGGGACTTTTATTTGAAAAAAAAAATCACTGTTGTTTTCAAAAAAATTGTTAATGCAATATTCAGTCCAAAAGGAAAAAATATTTTAACAAACCAAAATTTTTCACCTTTTAAATGCTTACAAAAGGTTAAGCCATAAAAACGAAACAATCTCAAGCACAGTTATTTAACAATCATAATCACAAGTGTTATAGCACATTAGGATCATAGGGGTACTATATCTACTGCAGTCATATTGGTGTATGTGAAGGGAGCCTGATGCATCCCATCCTTTTTAAAGCTTATTTTGTATTCAGTTGTCCTTTTTCTCTAAGTGGTTTTCCTATCAAGTCTAGATCCCAGTCTTCTATTATTTATAAGCGTTTGAATTCAGATTTCCTTTATTATCTGGCTACCACTGAAGACCAGAAAACCTAGTCTACCTTGCTATTGGATGTAGAATTGGAGGAAAATGGATTTGTTTTTTCAAAAGGTATTAATGCAAAATGAAGGAAATAGACTCCATCAGAATTTGAACTTGAAACCCCTACTTTTTGCTTTCTACATTAGTAACCATGACACTTTTCATGAATTCACTATTTTACACTATTTAGCATGGAGTAGTAAATATTTGGTAGTGATAAAAAAAAAAATTAACTTCTTCTCAATGACTGGAAATTAATTAGTAATTGTGTAAAAGACAAAATCAAATCAGATTTCTAGTGAAATAATGAAAGAAAATAAAAACATTTAGTAGAATTAATGGAAAATGTTTTTTGTCTTTTTCCAGACAGAATCATAGAAAAAAATAATTATAAAAGTGATACTGAATGATAAAGAAAATCCTTGTACCTGTTTTTCCTTTTTTTTTGGTTGGACACAAAAAGATCTTTTTCATTAGAAAGCCTGTTGTTAATCAACTTCAAGCTGAAATGCATGTAGCACCAGGCATTCATTTAAATAATTCTATAGTTAGGTCAAAAGAAGACTAATTAATTAATCAAGATTTTACTTGATAAAGTACTTTAATCACTCAGTCAGTCACTATGGAGTTTATTAACTGCTTTCCTTGATAAAAGGCTTAAATATTTCATAAACCCTCTTCATTGCACTTCTCGACATTACTCTACCTAGAACCATGTCTTCTTTTAATTTCAACTTCTTTATGTTGTTCTTGAAAACCTTCTCTCAATGTTTTCTTCAGACATCATTTGGCATAATTTCCCTTAATACTTAATTGCTTCAACCATGAATTAATGAGATCGTAAGAAAATCATTTCATTTGTCTTGGTTTGTTTCCTTTTAAGTGATACTTGCTTACTTTTTACTTATTTTTGAATGAAGAAATTAAAGAAAATAACATTTAAAGTAAGAAAAAATATATGATACAACAATACATAATTTTATACATCAAGAGTTTTTAGAAAAATGGTATGATAAATTGGAAAAATGTATTTGCAACACATTTCATCCATTAGGATTTCATCAGACTGGGCTTTGTTGATATTGATATTTGCACATGCTCACAAAATGACAGATTCTGATAGTTTCAAAATTATTTAATGAATATTTTTTTCAATTCATCCAAATTAATAGATGTTCTGATTAGTGGATCTTTGAAATTGTAAGAAGTATCTACTAATTATTGTATACTCTACTTAATATTGAGACCTCAATTTGCACAAGTTTACTTAGCTTCAAGTTGTTACCCTTGAGTAATTTATAGGTAATTTTTTTTTTTATTAGGTATAAACTCTGTTATATATATATATATATACACACACACACACAGAGGGGGGATGCAAAATTTAGTATACAGGGATCACACCCCCTCTGTGGGATCAGGTTGAGATCATAGACAAGGAACACCATTGGAAAATTCGTAAGAATCAGCACATATGCTAGGCCTCAAAAATTTCCTGAGCTGACCAAGCGTAGAAAAGAATACAATATGGGAACCAGTAATAATGAGTGCGAGAGACTAAAGATATAATAACAAAAATTGCAATATGAGCACTGGTAAAAATAGTTGCTGAGACATTAGGTTTATAATACCCAGAAATTCATACACAGATGTCCTTAAGGACACATGGCACAGTGGATAAAGGCATTGGTTAGATCCAGTGACGGTTTTCAGAGGGAAATTAACAGGAGATAACTGATAACTAACATCCAGAACTGTCTACCCCAGTGAGCAAAATAAAGGGTTTAGTTTGACATTCCAACCACTTGAAGAAGGCCGGAGCATACAATGGCCAAAAAGTTGTCATAAATATGGCGACAAAGATGAGGACAATAGTCCGAATAATGTAAATAATGTAAAAAAACAAAAGTATTCTTGTGCCAGGCTTGGATCAGTAACAAACTAATGAAAACCTTTGACTCATTTGTTTTTAGTTGACCGAAAAAACATTTGCCAAATCCTTTGGGCATGTGACAGTTAATAAAAGGTCTTAATCTTCACTTCCAGGCATTGAAGAGTTGAAACTGTTTCTTTTCTTTTTTTTTTTTGTCTTGACACCTGACAATGTGATTACTCAAATTACCTGCGCCAGTAGAAGCCATCTCTAATTACAGAGATCTTCAGATGCATTATTGGTTATTTTACCAATACAGGGCAGGTATTTGAAAGCAGTAACCGTTTTTGTTTATCTATTTATATGCCCTTAGCTGTCAGCATCATTTCAATCAAATTTTGTAATGCAGTGAAAGTCGATTCAGGATAAAAGAAACAAGAGTGGCATCTCGGCAAAGTAACTGGAATAGAGAAAGGTAAAAAAAAAAAAAAAAAAAGTAGTAGGAAGGAAAAGAAAAAAAAAAAAAGGAAAAACTACCCAAATGTCTATAACAGCAAAGAAATAAAAGAATTGGGAAAGAAGACTGAAGTGGGATGAATGAACAAAAAACCTCATGAATGCAGGTTTAAGGAAAAAGGCTAAAATAATGTAGAGAGAGTGAAGGGGAAGGACTGTGGAAAGAAGAAAAAGCAATAGAATGATTAGAAAAAAGAAAGTTTAAGTGGAAAATATCAGAGAAGGAAAATGAAATAAAAAAAAATCAAATGTTGAAGTTACAAGTTTTGAAGAAAACATAAGGATTTCAAATGAAAAGAGAAAAGAAAAAGAAACAAAAAATTAATTCATGGAAATGTCAGAAAAAGAATCATTTATGTCAAGAAAGGCCAAAAATTGGCACAATGAAGGAAAATGGCTAAATAGAAAGAAAAGAAAGTAGACAAATTTTTAATAGAAGAGGGAAGGAAAATACCAATAGTCAGATAAAATGAAATTGGTTTTAGGAAATTTTGCCAACAGCTGGTGTGTTGCCATTCAGTATGACACTTGAATACTGCTTTTGAGATGGTGGGGATTGATGAAGTAAAAACAAACCATGTCAGATCATTTGATGCAAATGATTATATATATATATATATATATATATATATATATTTTATTGGATAGATGTGAGTTTGTGACCCTGGGTTTCACGCTTTAGCGATCATCAGACAAACTAATTAATGTTTTAAAAAATTGGGTTTATGTAGATTGCGTGTATTGGTGTTATTGTGGAAGTGGTGGGGGAAATTTCGTCGTTTTTCATTCATCGTACTAACGCAAACATGCGTATGTATAGATATAACACCACCCGTATACATACACGTGTCATAGCCGAAACTGCCCACATATGTTTATATATGTATGAGTCCCGACGGACGACCAAGTGTGTATGTGTCTGCATACATCGATGTTTTTTATTTAGTACGATGAATGAAAAACGACGAAATTTCCCCCCACTTCCACAATAACACCAATACACGCAATCTACATAAACCCAATTTTTTAAACATTAATCAGTTTGTCTGACGATCGCTAAAGCGTGAAACCCAGGGTCACAAACTCACATCTATCCAACCAAATATGTTAGCACTATATCTGATATTGAGCGCTTTCTAATAAGTACCGCGCATATAATATATAAATAATTATACATATATATATTTGTTTATATTTATATACACTTTTCACATATATATATATATATATATACACACACACACACACACACACACACATTTCATGACACAAGTGCCTTCTTGTAAGCTTTCAGTGGAAGTTATTTATTAAAATGGAAGAAAAGAAATTCCCTTGAATATATTAAATGGGATAATTATGAAATAACTGAAACAATACTTAGGAAATGGGGACATGTAATTTAGCAAAATGGTTTGGCAAACAGTTAAAATTCTATTTGAGTCTTTTTTAAAAATCATTCTCTGGAGTAGTGTGCATGGAACCAGTGATAGCTTTAGATTTCATTTATCTCTTGGATGAAATTTTGGGCAATACACTCAGTCAATTTGAAAGTAATTAAAAAAAAAAATGAAGGAATAACCTCCATATATTTTTTCTTTGTGCTTGTATGTAATTTTCAAAAAATATTATCTAAAATTCTTTTTGATGTTCAAGTGGTTTAACAGAGATTCAGAATGAAAACTCAGTGAGTGAAGTTTGAATTCTGTTTGAGATTGTTACATAAACTTTCATGCAAATGCCCTTGCTATAGAACAAGCTGTAGGTTAAAATAGCAGGGCAGACTGGACTTTGCACCTGTGGTTGGCAACCAGTATAGGATGACAACTCGAAATGCAAAACTATGCATGGTATATATATGAGCAGTATTTCATCTTGTCAGTTATAAAGGTCATAAGCAATTCTTTTTATGTGCCATGTCCTTTTCAGACATAGGTGATCATGGCTCTCTAACTCCCTCTATCCCTCAACAAGTTCCTTTCCCTCTGTTACCCTCCCCAGACCATGTCCTGTCATCCACTTGCATAAGCTTGCCAGGTATGTCACGTGCTGCTTTCCCTTGTCTCACATTCCCTCTATTCAACCCTTGAGTCTCAGATTCTCCTGGCCTTCCTTCCTCATTATGTATCCCAGAAACTTCAGCTGCTTCTTCCTGATATTAAGTATAAGCCTCCTCCTTGTTTTCAATGTCTCTAAGACCTCATCCTTGCTCACATACTCATTCCATGATATCCTTAGCATCCTTCTGTGGAACCACATCTTCGTCGCCTTGGGTCTCTTCTTCATCTTTTGAGGAAATTATTCAACATTTGCTGCCATAAAGGACAGATGTCAAGTAACAGTTCAGTATTATTTGTTACCAAGGAAATCCTCTTGTCTCGCAATACACTGCCAAGCTTTTTGGATGTGTCCTTGGCCATCCCAATACGTCTATGGATTTCAGTGTTACATTTATCATCCTTTGTTGAAATGCTTCCCAGTTATTTAAACTTCCGTGTCTGCTTGATTCAAGTGTTCACTACCTGCAAATTTTTACTTCAAGTTTGTCCTTTTACTGATGGCCATGCATTCTGTCTTGTAGTTTATGCCTCGTGCCTTCTTTTCACTCTGTGTCGCTACATTCTGTACGAGACTTTGTAATTTCTTTTCTGTGTCTGCTATCGGTATTGTATCATCTATGTATCTTAGGTTAATAAATAGTGTAAAAGATAAAACAAAAAAGGTTTTATATGTTCTAGGTAATTTTTCACCTAAGATATAGTATAAAAAGTTAAATATATAAATTGTTTGCTATTGGTGATTTTTCAAAGCACATATTTTTTGTACCTGGATTTTATTCACCTGTACCCAATAAATCAGGCTGGTCTAATAACTAGAGAGATTTGGTTTAGAAATTTCTTCGAAATTATTACTGTTGGTATCCTAGCACCATCTCTTCTAAAACATGTTGAGGGTGTTGACATGAAGTATAAAAAAAACCTTAAGTTATAGGGATCCTACAAAATGTACATATTTGATGGAAAATCATTAAAAAATATTAGGCATGGGAGAGTAGGTTGTTCCAGGAATACAAGAGTGAATTCCCCAGTGAACCAGCTTAAAGATAAGTTTTTCTGTTTGATATGAGACGGTGGTGAACTCGTATGGTGATGTCAATGTGATCTTGATTTTGAGAAACAGAAGGAACTTTGTGCATTAATTTATCAATATATGATATAATATTACAGAAATGGGAGTAAAATGTATATTAAAATGACTTTAACTAAATTCATTTTATATATATATATATATACATACAAGGTGTTTCAAAAAAATACACCAAAATCATTACGCTGTTTTTTCAGGTCTATAGCATTGTAGTGGACTGAATCGGTAGTTATTTGATAGAGTAGTTATCAAAGTTTGATTGGTTTCAGTTTCACGACTGTTGTTAGTATAACTTCCAGTGCAGCTGAATTGTGGGAAGATCAATCAAAATGGTGACTCCTCAGCACAGCATTTTGCGTGTTTGAGTTTGCGAAAACAAATGCCATTGTCACGGTGCCTGTACAAAGGAAATAGTCCTGGAAGACCACGTGTTACAGAGGAGCAAGTGGAGAGGATACATGATGCATTTGAGAGCAGCCCACGTAAGTCTGTACGTCGAGCAAGTCTTCAGCTTGCCATCCCTCATACCACTGTCTGGCGTGTGCTAAAGAGACGATTACACATGAAACCATACAAACTAAGCCTCGTTCAAGCACTTCCTAATGATGACAAAGTGATGTGGAGGACATTCTGTGAGTCAATGCTGGAGATGGAGGAAGGTGATGAAACTCTCTTTTCACGTTTAGTTTTTAGTGATGAAATTTCCATTTGAGAGGCACAGTCAATCGTCACAATGTGCACATTTGGGGAACAGAGCACCCACAGGAAACTGTTGAGCATGAAAGAGATTCCCCTAAAGTGAACGTCTTCTGTGCTGTGTCTCAAGACAAGGTCTATGGTCCCTTTTTCTTTGAAGGAAAAACCGTTACAGGACAAACCTATCTCGAAATGTTCTAAAACTGGCTATTCACTTTACTGCAAGCAGATTCGAATGACTTCATTTTTCAGCAAGATGGAGCACCACCCCAATGGCATCTCTGGTTTAGAGCTTGTCTGAATGAAAACGTGTCTCAGCGATGGATTGGGAGGAGAGGTGCTAAAGACCTTACTCTGTGTGCTTGGCCTGCCAGATCCCCGGACCTCACTGTGTGTGACCATTTTCTTGTGGGGGTATGTTAAAGACCAAGTTTATGTTCCAGCACTTCCAGCAAGTGGACCATGACATGCTGAGGTGTGTTTGGGAGGAATTCTCATATCAGCTTGATGTTGTCCACGCTGCCGGTGGTTGCCACATTGAGAAATTATAAAACATGAAATGAAACTTGAATGTATATACAACACATGTGTTCATGCTAGAGGTTTGTAATTTGTTTCATTTTTGACACATGTGGTGATTGTGAGGTAGTTAGAATTCCTTACTCAACATCCTGGTATTGTTTGGGAAGTTAGAAGTTTGAAATAGTCTAGGGAGACATCATGTATAATGGTTATTGGGAACAAGGCTGCACCGAAAAAAAAATACAATTTCTTTTACTTTTTTGCCTGTGAGTTCAATACCTAGTTAAGGCAGTGGAGAACTTGGAGAGTGGAATCAACAGGAAATAACTGCCATCCATTAGACATGGCTCATGGAATTGGAACAGTCTACCCCAGTGAGCGAAGTAAAGGGTTCAGTTCGATATTCCGAGCAGCTGAAGAAGGTCAAAGTGTACAACGGCTGAAACATTGTGATAAATATGGCAACAAAGATGAGGATGATAGTCCAAACAATGTAAATAGTGTGTGTGTGTGTATATATATATATATATATATATATATATAATCATGTGTAATGTCCATTCGCAATGTAGGTGATCAGGACAAATTGTTCACTCTTCACTGTTAATTGCCATGAATCTTTCAAGATAATGTTGACTTCTGCATAATTTTGAATTCCAAAATGTTTTCTGCTATTAATCTGTTTACCATTTGTGCGAAAGTGTGTGCAACAGAAATTTCAACTGCCTCTTTCTGAT